TTGACCTTTTGAATCAATCTGACTGGATGATCTGGTGAACTGGAAAGTGACCTGAGATGACATGATGTGAATTAGAGCTATAGAAATAAACTGAATAGAATTGAATTCTCCGGATTTTTTTCTTTCCTTCCTGATTTTCTCTGAAATCCCTCCATAAAGAAGGCTGATAAAAACAGAACCACCTGCCAGTAGAAAGTTTATGGATTGTATTTAAAAAAAAAATGAAGAAAGACAACAAGATTTTTTTTATTTAAATATTTGCAAATATACAGATCTTACTGACAAATAATAATACTAATAAACAAATATAGGGAAGAACACTAGACAGGTGCTCTAAAATAAAGAATATAAAAAACAAAATACATTATTCTTTCTTCTAACAATCTCTCACAAATATCTGTGGAAGTATTGCTCTGTTTTGAGTATTAAAGAGAGGGATTTCATGTACTCTAGAATTCATGCAAGAAACATTTGAACTTTGAGACGTTCTGGAATATTAACATTTATGTTTATGGACTTAGCCAAACAATATGAGCAGGTTTGTGATTAAAGTAACATTAGAGTCTTCATGGGCAAAATACAGTATTACACTCTTACTGTCAAATACTATCTATGTTTTGAGTTTAGACATTATATATAATGTTCAAGAAGAGTCCAAAGTGATAGAATAAATGAGATAAGGTTTCCTGTTCCATAAAACAAAAACTGCAAACTGCATTTATCTTTAATATCTGATAATTTAGAAACATAAACATTTGTAGGATAAATAGTTTGTATAATCTGGATTTGAATCTCCTTTATCTTATTGGAGATACAGAACTTATAGGGAAATAACCAGACCTTCTTCCAGCATAAAGATCCCATAATGCTTTTCCTCTTAGAGGGAATTAGGCATGTGTTTGATCAACAACAACATGATGGGAAAGGTGACGTCACTTCCTGGATGTAGGGGAGACTGGATGACAGCTGGGTTGTTTTCATCAAGCAGGGGAACCCGGCTGGACAGGAAAGGTATGTATTGACAGCGGCTCCGGTCCGGTCCGGTTCGGTCCGGTTCGGTTCGGTTAGGTCCGGTTCGATTCTCTGAACATTTTGATTCCATTTTTAATGAGGAACTGATCCAGGATGAGGAGCAGATGCTGCTGACAGGACGCTCAGCTTCCTCCTTCTCTAACGTTTATGTTTCACCGGAAATGGAGGATTTTATTCTCCATCTGATTAAAAACACTGAATTCCATTGAAAATCTGCCCGTTTAGGAACGGATGGAGGTTTTTAATCCAAAGCAAGCCGTGATTTTCGCACATTAACGCCTCGCTGCTTCCAGGACAGCCTTTCCATCGGATCGGTCCTATTTTCGGTGAACTGCTCCTTTAACTTTGGCTCACTAACTTTTATTCTCCGTAAATCTGTCGGTTGGTTCAAAGAGGCTTTCTGTGGTGCGTTCAGGTTAAACTCGGATATCGAATTTTCCATAATACAGTTTAAAGTCAGACCCATGTAGTTTGTTTAATCTGCGCGCATTTAATCATTTGCTATTTTATTATTGTTACTATTTGCTTAAAAATAATAAAAATTCCCAACTTGCTGCTTAAAGTTCTACAAAAATGCATCAATAAATGAGTTGCTAACATTATTAAACTATTCAGTTTACCCCCATCAAAAAAAGCTAAATGAAATTCCTTTATAATTGTTTCTTCCTTCTAAAACCAGATAACATTTTAAATTGTTGAGACATACTTTGGTTTAACGGCTGATTTGATGTGTGGGAGGGACCTGGACTTTGATCCC